CTTCAACTGGTATACTGAAATTGTGAAGAATCATACACAAAAATCACAAAAAGTTACTCTCCTGAGAAGAACACACAAGCGGGGTTTCTAACTGTCTGAACGGTGAATGTATCTACAAACATATTATTTTCACCTTTTTACTAGTGCCGATAAATATGTCCTCTATTTCTATTTAATTAGGTACTTGACAATTACAATTATTACCACAATATTAGTTTTTGTGTTAATTCCATGTATCCAAGAAAAGGTTGCCAATCATTCTTATAATCATCCATATTCTTTGCCATTTAACTGATCCATAAGTTTAGCCATCTGAGCTAGGTCCATTGTCTTAATAGTCCATTCTTCAACTCTTGGGATATTTTCTTCCTTCCATCGTGAAGCATAAATAATCCGAGCTGCAGTTATCAGATACAACAAGAGCTTTCCATGTTTCTTTTCGAGTTCTTTGTCCATTAAACCCAGTAGATATAGTTCTGGTTTTTTAACTATATCTTTTGACAACATTTTTTGAATACTATTGTGTATTAATGTCCAAAAATTTTTAGCTTTCGTGCAAGACCACCATATGTGATAGAATGTACCTATTTCCCTTCCACATTTCCAACAGATATTTGATGTATTGTTCAATATTTTTGATAGTTTATCTGGAATTATGTGCCATCTATACATCATTTGAAAAAGTTCTCTTTCAGGTTGTAACTCAATGTAAATTTCAGTCCCCTAGTCCACATCCTTTCCCATTGGTCATATTCAATATTATATCCAAAATTGTTTACTCACTTGATCATACAATCTTTAGTTTGTACATCTCTCAGTTTTAATTGCAATAATATTTTATATATCTTGGCAATCGTGTGATCAGTCTTGAAATATATTCAACTATCCCACCAAGTTGGTTCTTTTGTAAATCTATATCTTTTCACATCTAATTTAAATTGTTCCTTTAGTTGTATATACATAAACCAATGGCAAGGTTGCCCATCTTTCTCTAATTCTTCCCTTGTTTTTATTACATACTGTATTTATCTCTTTCATATTTCAGTAGATCGCTGTACTTCAACCTTTTATAATTTTCTTTATTTTCTCACCTGGCGAAAGCTTCCTGGGGAGGTATCCAGAGGGGGAGGCTTGGTGTTAGTATTGGTTTATATTTTCCCCAAATTCTAAAAATGGATCTTCTAATATAATGATGATTGAAGTCTTTATTTACTTTGATTTTATCATACCATAGAAAGCCATGCCAGCCAAATCTTAAATCATATCCTTCTAATTTTAATAACCTATGGTTTTCTAAAGTGATCCATTCTTTTAAACATATAAAACCACAAGCCTCATAATATAATCTTAGATCTGGTCGACCGAATCCTCCTCTTTCTTTAGCATCTTGTAATAATTTAAATTTCATCCTTGGTTTTTTCCCATGCCAAATAAATTTCGATAGGTCCTTTTGCCACATTTTAAAACTTTTATCTGTTATTAATATTGGTATAGCTTGGAATAGGATTGGATTCTAGGTAATACATTCATTTTGATTGCAGAAATTCTCTCCATTAAAGATAGTTGTAAATTTTCCCATCTTAATAAATCTTTCTTAATTTCGTTCCATATTTACAGGAAATTGTTTTGGAATAAAACATTGTTTTTCACTTTAATCTCTATCCCCATGTATTTAACCTTTTTTGCATACTTGAACCCTGACCTTTTTCTAACTTGGCTTGATTATTTTGTGTCATATTTAAATTTATCATTTTCGTTTTCCGATTATTTAGTTTAAAACCAGTTAGTTCTCCATAGTCTTGCAATTTTCGCAGTAAATAGTCAACTGATTCCAGTGGGTTATGTAGAGTGACTACTAAGTCATCTGCGAAAGCTCTTAGCTTACAGTTTTCTCGTTTTATCTTTACACCCTCTATTTGACTAGCTGCTACTGTTAGGAAAAAGTGGAAACTTCCCTCAAGAAGACCTACTCAACCTCAGAGAAGCAATAGCTCAGAGAAGGGGGGGGAGGGAGGTACATTTTTTGCCCTATTGCTTAATTGCTGTCCTGCCCCCAAGAGTGCTTTGCATTTCAACCTTTATCACCAACCTCATTCTCTGCTTTGCAAGAAGAATCCATCATTGGCCCTAAAGGGGGGCTTTGGGTGTTTTGTTTTTAAACTAAATGGGTTATGAGGAAAAGCTTACTAGGTTTCATCTTTGTCGCTCAATGCTCCTTGGGAGGAAAGCCATGGCAAGCCTAGATAGCATATTAAAAAGCAGAGA